TAGCATTTTAAACTATAAATTTCTCCGCTACTATTCTATAGAACTTTTTAAAACTTTCATATCTTGTACAAAATTATCTCCTCTTTCCACTGGTTATTGAACCTTGAGCGGCATCAATCTACAAACAATCGAAATTCGGCCTTACACTGTACTAATATGTAAAACAATACTAATTATAGATAAATACCGCGCACGCACTGTCTGAGTGTCAAGAATAGCATTTTAAACTATCAATTTCTCCGCTGCTATTCTATAGTATTTTTTAAAACTTTCATATCTTGTACAAAATTATCTCCTCTTTCCACTGGTTATTGAACCTTGGGCGGCATCAATCTATAAACAATCGAATTCGGCCTTATACTGTACTAATATGTAAGACAATACTAATTATAGATATACATAGCGCGCACTGTCAAGAATAGCATTTTAAACTATAAATTTCTCCGCTGCTATTCTATAGTATTTTTTAAAACTTTCATATCTTGTATAAAATTATCTCCTCTTTCCACTGGTTATTGAACCTTGGGCGGCATCAATCTATAAACAATAGAAATTCGGCCTCATACTGTACTAATATGTAAGACAATATTAATTATAGATACATAGCGCGCACGCACTGTCTGAGTGTCCAGAATAGCATTTTAAACTATAAATTTCTCAGCTGCTATTCTATAGAACTTTTTAAAACTTTCATACCTTGTACAAAATTATCTCCTCTTTCCACTGGATATTGAACCTTGGGCGGCATCAATCTATAAACAATCGAAATTCGGCCTTATACTGTACTAATATGTAAGACAATACTAATTATAGATAAATATAGCGCGCACGCACTGTCTGAGTGTCAAGAATAGCATTTTAAACTATAAATTTCTCCGCTGCTATTCTATAGGATTTTTTAAAACTTTCATATCTTGTACAGAATTATCTCCTCTTTCCACTGGTTATTGAACCTTGGGCGGCATCAATCTATAAACAATCGAAATTCGGCCTTATACTGTACTAATATGTAAGACAATACTAATTATAGATACATAGCGCGCACACACTGTCAAGAATAGTATTTTAAACTATAAATTTCTCCGCTGCTATTCTATAGGATTTTTTAAAACTTTCATATCTTCTACAGAATTATCTCCTCTTTCCACTGGTTATTGAACCTTGGGCGGCATCAATCTATAAACAATCGAAATTCGGCCTCATACTGTACTAATATGTAAGACAATACTAATTATAGATAAATAGCGCGCACGCACTGTCTGAGTGTCAAGAATAGCATAGCAAAATGACGTTATTATTTATTATTAAAACTTTATTTACACACGGTATTCTCATCAGGATTTAACATGCAACAAACTAAATTAGATAAATTACAAAAGTAGAACCACGCTAAAGTAAATAGAAAATATAATACCTGCTTTTCATGAGGGCCGTGTGCTAAGCTAATATAACAATATATACAAGGAAAGTTAGAATAATTTGGCACAGCCCGATCGGAAATTTATCAAGTTATTTGCTTGCCGTAGCCCAATCGGAAGACTGTTCTACAGCACCGCACCACTATAGCTAAAGCTATTCTTAAGATAGTTTGTGCGGGGCTTGGGAACAGCTAGCTTGTTCTCAGTATTTCTCAGCGAATACGGATTAACACTGTCACGGTTTACAAACATGGAATGCATGTAATCAGGAGCAAGACCATTTAATGATTTATAGACCATGACAGCTTTTTGAAACTGGCGCTGGGATGATAATTTTTTCCAGCCAAGTTTCTCAATTAAACCATCAGCATTAGTGTCATAACTGGAGAATGTTAGTACTCTCGCTGCACGATTTTGTAGTTCTTTTTTCACAATCTTTTTTGTTAATTCATTAATTTGTATATTCCAAGATAGATTCTCATCAAGGTACACTCCGAGAGACTTTGCTTGTAAAACCTTGTCAATAGGAACCCCGTCTATTTCTAAACATGGAACTGATCGAAATGTGGCTATTTACGACGTGTGTTCTAAACGGCTCGTTTTATCCACACGAGCTCCACAAAGCCATCCAAGATGAGTACAAGTTAGTTCCTGGAGAACAGCAAGATATACATGAAATCTTTACTAGACTTTGTTCGTCAGGAACCCAAAACATGAACGATATCATTGCCATCCATTTTCAAAGCGGTTGTCAGTTTACGAAAACATGCAGAGTATGTGCTAAGCATGATGATCTCACACCAGAAACACGTACAACCATCATTGTGCCTGTCTTAAATGGCATACACAATTTGGAAAGAAGCATCGTACATGCTATGAACGATGATCACGTTCCTATTTATTGTAGCTCTTGCGAAAAGAGTACTGCGAATAAACTTTCAGGGAACTTTGTGTTTCTACCTCAAACATTAGACATAGGATTCAATAGATTTCAGCAGAAAGGCGGAATCACAAAGAACCACTCAAGAGTACAGTTACCACTGGAACTTCAAGTGGTAGGAAACATGCCATGTCAATACAGTCTTAAAGCATGCGCCCTACACCATGGGATGCACAATCACAACGGACATTATACAGCCGTTATTTTCGACAATGATAAGATTATAGAAATCGACGATCACATTGTCAAAGATGTGACCAGGGGCGGACTGCATGGCCCACAGGGATACCGGGAAATTTCCCGGTGCGCCCCTGATTAAAATGTTCTTTGGCGCCCCTATTTTGGAATTTTGTAGATAATTTATATGTTATTTTGGTAATGGTATTTGTTCACGCCCAGTCTAACAAAGACATAAGTTCTCTCACTAATTCGAAAATGGTTAATGCTCGACGGCGCGATGTTCAAGAAAACATTCGTGTCTTAGTAATAATAGTATCTGTAATCAAACACCTTGCTAAACGATCCTTTTCATTCAGAGGACACCGAAATGAGTCTTCACACACTTTAGATGATAGATCAGTTGATCATGAAACAATCCTTTAGAAACAATCCTTTTGATTTCGGAATTTGATGTACCTTTAAACAGTCATGTACAGGAAGTAATTCATGAAAGTAAGAAAAGACGAGAAAATTTGAAACGAAAAGGCAAGCAGAATAGTCGTCGACGTGGAAATTTAGTAGCAATGCTTTCAAAATCCCAGTTAACAAAATTTTGCTAGCAATTTTAAACATCATAAAATCAAAAATTATTCAAGAGATTGGAGAAAAGAAGTTTTCATGCAGTAGAGATGGGTGGTACACAAGACACCGCCACGGTGGAACAGGATCGGAAACAATAATTTTGCCGCGTTATGTTCTTGGCCTGGAAGTCAATAAATCAAAAGTTTATGATGAATCAGCAGCTGTATTTTTCAACATTTGAAGACAAATGTTGAGCAACAAGGTCTAAAGATGGAAAATATTATCGGTGAATCATTTGATGGAGCATCAAATATGTGTAGGGAGTTCGGAGGTGTACGTGCAGAAGCTGATCAGAGACGTTTCGCCAAATTCGTTGTACACATGGTGCTACGCTCATGTGCTAAACCTTGCTGCTCCAGATATGGTAGAAAACATAACCGAAGTGAAAATTTGTTCAGCTTGCTTCAAAGCACCGTAACGTTTTTTTTCAGATTCGTGCAAACGAATGGATGTTTGGAGCAGGATAAAGATTGACGAAGCAGTTGGTTCAGCAAAGCTAAGGAAATTGCAGAAGATTGGTGACACTATATGGTGTCCTAAGCAGGCAGTATTAGAAACAATTTTTGGTCCGTATAACAATAAAAAACGGAACATATTTTGTCATGCTAAAGGTACTGAATGATATTGTGAATCTGCCCAAATTCAATGCAAAGGCATCTATTGAGGTTGCTTGAAAAATGGTTACAATTCAGTAACATTTTAACTGCGTATTTTCTACTTCTTGTGCGTAGTATTTTACGTCAAGCATCCGATTACTTGCAAACAAGTGGTTTGGATTACCTTAGTGCTTGGAACATGGTGCAGTCATCAAAAGACGAAATACACAGAATCTCATATGACACCACTGTATGAAGCATCAAGTAATTTTACTCAGTCAATGAACGCCAAACTGGCTGAAGACGATCTTGACAACATTAAAGTTGAATCGAAACTAGAAGATTCAAGAGTAATGGAGAGCAAGCATCTGATATGTTAGCCGAGGATACAATTGTGCGGTTTCGTGCAAACGTTTTCAGACGAGTAGTTGACCAGATTACGACTAGTATTGACCAATGCTTTAGTCAAAACGGTCAACTGATTAAAGATATACAGCATATCTTGATCCACGACGATTTGATGAAATAGTCTTGTCTGGGGTTTCTGAAAACAGCCTTACTAAAGTTGCTAAGATAACTGGCGTTCGCCCTTTGTCACTGAAAGAAGAATTATGCTGTTTAGCGAGAAATTTCACGTTGTTATCACGATCACTTCCTGATGAGTCTGAAGGTGCTTCTGATGACGTTGCCACCATGACCAGTACCAATGAGGAGGAGACCAGTGAAGAGGAGAGCAGTGGTAATGAAGACGGTGGTGTCAGCAAGAATCCAATACTAAGAAATTGAAATGCTGCTCGCAAAGGAAACTGTAAAAAGTGTCTTGCTTGCTGTCACAAAATCCTCTTCAAGTACTCATTCATCACTTCAGCTCTAACAAATTTGTTTGTTGTGTACGAACATTTGTTGACATTGTCATTTACGCAAGTTAACTGTGAAAGGGCATTTAGCAAGTTGAAACAAATAAAAACTAGATTAAAATCAAGTTAGCCGCGAATGATAAGTTGGAAGCTGTAATACTAATGACAAGCGAGAAAGACTTGCTTGATAACATTACTGTACATGACATAATTGCTATTTTAGCTAAAGCGTCTTCAGTGTTCCGTCAAATGCTTGTTATGTCTGATGAAATAAAATAAAGTTGTTTTACTGCTCGTTAACCATTTTTATTTATTTGTAAAACAGCGGTTCTGAGAATAGGCGAAATGCCAAATGTTATTGTTGTGCATATGGTTCACTCCAAAATACTTTTGTACAAAATCCGAAATAATGCACAGTTTGCACACAATTTCTATGTAGCTTTTGCTCACGTTATGGCTACAAGCGGCGCCCCCTTTCTGAGTTTTCCCGGTGAATTACGTATAGGCCAGTCCGCCCCTGGATGTGACTGATGATTGGATAACTAACGTACAATCGACATTGTATTTGGTATTTTATACCAAGAAGTAGTACACTTCATCAACCTCCTCTACGCAATTAGATTATTCTCCTAATTCTGACAATGACAATAATAAAAGAGAGGAAGAAGATAGAGATGGGAGTTTGCTAGGAGAATATGACCAAGGTAGTGAACGCAGTGCGAATGAAACCGAAAATATTGATCGCTTCTACGATATATCATGTAAATACAAATCGATCAGAACTAAACACAAGTGTTGTCTTACATATTAGTACAGTATAAGGCCGAATTTCGATTGTTTATAGATTGATGCCGCCCACGGTTCAATAACCAGTGGAAAGAGGAGATAATTTTATACAAGATATGAAAGTTTTAAAAAATCCTATAGAATAGCAGTGGAGAAATTTATAGTTTAAAATGCTATTCTTGACAGTGCGCGCTATGTATCTATAATTAGTATTGTCTTACATATTAGTACAGTATAAGGCCGAATTTCGATTATTTATAGATTGATGCCGCTCAAGGTTAAATAACCAGTGGAAAGAGGAGATAATTTTATACAAGATATGAAAGTTTTAAAAAATCCTATAGAATAGCAGCGGAGAAATTTATAGTTTAAAATGCTATTCTTGACAGTGCGCGCTATGTATCTATAATTAGTATTGTCTTACATATTAGTACAGTATAAGGCCGAATTTCCATTGTTTATAGATTGATGCCGCCCAAGGTTCAATAACCAGTGGAAAGAGGAGATAATTTTATACAAGATATGAAAGTTTTAAAAAATCCTATAGAATAGCAGCGGAGAAATTTATAGTTTAAATTTCTTAGCAAATTGTATTGAATATTTGTTGGCAGTGTGGATAGCTGTTAGGAAAGTATCGTTTTGGAGTGCTTTGAAATGCGTTTGTAGGTTTGTGTGCGGATAACCATAAAGGTAGTAGTTAGCTAATGTGACTTGCATGGTTTATTTCTCCCAAATTGATTTGGGAAAGAAGAAATGGCTGTATTTATCATTTTGACTTTTGAGTGATTGAAATTAGTTAATTTACACGAGATCGAATATCATGTTGAATGTCATGTTGAATCTCATGCGTACTTCACAGTGGTAGCATAATGGCGGTCGTATGTATAAATACGACAGTCGCAGACAACAATCATTATAATTCTCGCATTATTATAATATAAAAACCTTATTCCTTTCGACGTTTATCACATCTTTGAAGTTACAGGCGAACTAATTGTAAAGCATTGACGCTGTGAACCACACGTTTTGAATTGCATTGGCGGCCAGACCTTTGTCATAATTTCAAATACAAACAGCAACTTTGCTCGCTTCTTCCTCACACTGTTTTAAAGCCATCTTTATGCTTGAAATATGAATATACTAAAGCCATTTTAACCAGTTTGTATCGCTTCCATCGCACTGACACTTAGAAGCAATCCTAATAGAACCCTCGCACCACAATAGCAGATATATTCCCATACAAACGACCACAAACTATATAAATGCCAGTATTGATGTGAGAAGAAGGTATCAGATTTCACGGCGCGTTATCCACATTGGTTGAAAGCTCGATCATGCGGCGCGCGAATATTCAAAATTTCGGCTTCATTGTGTGTTATCTTCATATTCTGTTACTGCTGCTGCAAATTATAGCGTGTTATAATATTTGAAATGCGATATTTTGAGGTCCAATTTTGCTAGTTTCCAATCTGTATGATGAAATGCATAAACATGCATTACACATGTGACATGGGAACTATTTCTGTTAATTTATTATTATGTCTAGTTATTAACTTCTGAATTCAAATGTTTCATTTGTGAAATGGTTTTTAATTTGCCAGTAAATTAATATGCGGCTGTTTCATGCTACCAGTAAATAATATTCGGATATAAATATTTGCCAATTAATTTGGCGATATACCTGTAATCGGCCAGCCCTAGCCTGTGACGGTAGACCAGGCTCAAAACGTGTGTTTGCAGACCGTGTTATACTGTAAAAGTGTTTTAGTTTAAGAATATATGTTATTCTAACTGCACAAACAGTTTTAATACCACCAAAAAGGTGCTATTTTAACACTCGTGCGCGTGCTAATTTAACACCACCAAAAAGGTTTTATTTTAACACACATGTTCTCACTCCACAAACAGTGCTAATTTAACACTGGGGAATACAAATTCTTAACACCACTTATGGTGTTATTTTAACACCAAGAATTTTGCACCAGAAACCAGTGTTATTTCAACACCACCTGTCCTTAAGTGGGTGTTATTTTAACACCTCTAAAGTGGTGTTAAACAATTTGAGTGTTAAATTAACACTTGGCAAAATATTTTTATTTATGTCGTGTTAAATTAGCACCGAAAAAGGGTGCTAAAATAACACCTTTGTTTAACACCACCAGTTGGTGTTAATCTAACACCACCCGAGGTGTTATTTTAACACCCTGAAATTAACAGTGTTTACAAGTGCCTCCAAAACGCTGGAAATGCCATTTCAGTACCAATATTAAAAAAAAAATTCGGGTAGCATACCTCCGGACCTTCCTAATTTGGAGTCCATCCCCCCCCACTTTTTGGGATGGATTGACACCCTTGGGCATCGCGCATATATATATATATATATATATATATATATATATATATATATATATATATATATATATATATATATATATATATATATATATGAACTTGCTGTTGTGGGACTCGACAACTAGACTTTGTACCTCAGTCGGTAAGAGCGCTGCACAGGAATCGCAGGGCAACAGGGCATGTTGATTCCTGCCAGAAGGCCATTAGTTTCATTTTTCTCAGATGTTCGTGGCTATAGGTCTAAATTAATGTGTAAAATTTGCGCTCGAAATTTCCATCTAAATAACCCTGAAACTAATTTAACTTGGATTTGTGAGGACTATAGGAATGCATAAGATCACAATTAAAAATAATTCAAAGCACTTACGCTTTACAGAATCCATACTCTGCTTCTCTTGCTATTCGAGCAATATCTTGCCGCGATGGTTGACGGGCACCAAATGCGTTACACACGTTCTTTGCTGTTGGATGATTAAACTTGCCTTTTACTTGAAAAAGTTCATTGTTAACTATTCCTGGAAAATTAATCATCCCTCCATATGGATCTGAAAGGAATATTTGGTACAGTTCGAACTTAGAAGTCCGTATTGATGGTGCATATATTTATATCAGCGAGGTCTACATATTAGAGCGGTATTTGTATCAAAGGGACCTCCGTATTAAAGAGGCATCCGTATTAGAATTGTCCACATTTATAAAGAGATCTCCGTATTAGAAGTATCCACATTCATGAGATCCTCGGTCCGTATTAAAAGTGTCCACATTAAAGAGATCTCCGTATTAGAGCTGAGTGTCCATATTAAAGAGATCTCCGTATTAGAAGTGTGCGCATTAAAGAGATCTCCGTATCAGAAGTGTCCACATAAAGAGATCTCCGTATCAGAAATGTCCACATTAAAGAGATCTCCGTATCAGAAGTGTCCACATAAAGAGATCTCCGTATCAGAAATGTCCACATTAAAGAGATCTCCGTATTAGAAGTGTCCACAATAAAGATCTTGACGAACTAGAAGTGCCCACATTAAAGAGATCTCCGTATTAGAAGTGTCCACATTAAAGAGCTCTGTATTACAAGTGTCCACATTAAAGAGATCTCCGTATTAGAAGTGTCCACAATAAAGAGCTCGACGTACTAGAAGTGCCCACATTAAAGAGATCTCCGTATTAGAAGTGTCCACATTAAAGAGCTCTGTATTACAAGTGTCCACATTAAAGAGATCTCCGTATTAGAAGTGTCCACAATAAAGAGCTCGACGTACTAGAAGTGCCCACATTAAAGAGATCTCCGTATTAGAAGTGTCCACATTAAAGAGCTCTGTATTACAAGTGTCCACATTAAAGAGATCTCCGTATTAGAAGTGTCCACAATAAAGAGCTCGACGTACTAGAAGTGCCCACATTAAAGAGATCTCCGTATTAGAAGTGTCCACATTAAAGAGCTCTGTATTACAAGTGTCCACATTAAAGAGATCTCCGTATTAGAAGTGTCCACAATAAAGAGCTCGACGTACTAGAAGTGCCCACATTAAAGAGATCTCCGTATTAGAAGTGTCCACATTAAAGAGCTCTGTATTACAAGTGTCCACATTAAAGAGATCTCCGTATTAGAAGTGTCCACAATAAAGAGATCTCCGTATTAGAAGTGTCCACAATAAGGAGATCTCTGTATTAGAAGTGTTCACATGAAGAGATCTCTGTATTAGAAGTGTCCACATTAAAAAGATGTCTGTATTAGAAGTGTCCACATTAAAGAGATCTCCGTATTAGAAGTGTCCACAATAAAGAGATCTCCGTATTAGAAGTGTCCACATTAAAGAGATCTCCGTATTAGAAGTGTCCACAATATAGAGATCTCCGTATTAAGATAAGATAAGATAAGATGATGTTTAATAGCACAAATTCGCACATAAAGTGAAGTACAAAGTGCTTACATTAAAATACTATATAATATAAGATTATTTACAATGGTTGTTAGGACAAAGTTAAAATCAAGTCTCACCAGTCACTGTTTACTATTAGCAATATTAATTGTATTTGGGAAAAAGCTATTTTTAAACCGATCAGTTCGACATTTATAAGTTGATAAATTATTTAATGATCTAATAAAATAATTATGCTCGTTCGATCTAGTCTGGGTCACGTGTTGTGTAAGCGGACCACCTCTGGTTATCTTCGTGTCTTCAAACATAGATCTTCACGTCTAGTCTCCAATTTGGTGATACCAGCCGACAGCAACGCATCTTTATAAGTTTGTTCAGGGTATACAATACGCAAGGCTCGCTTTTGGATTTTTTCAAGTTTGTCAGATAAATATTGCATGAGATAGAGTTGTGCCAAACTTCACAAGAGTATTCAAGAATTGAGCGTATTAACGCAATATACACAGTGACAAGGTCTGCAGGCGGAATACCACTTCGGCGCAACACCCGGAGGATATGCAATCGTTTGGATGCCTTCGAGACTATTTCATGGATATGTTCATCCCATATTTCAGGTTGCTTTGGATCGTAAGTCCCAGTACTTTATGTGAACGCACTGTCTCAATTGGGTGTCCATCGATTAACAGAGGCATCAATTGGGGGGTTTCTCCAAGGAAACTAACACGAAGCTCTTTGCATTTTTTGAAATTAAGTTTCATCCAATTATCGGAAGCCCATAACTGAACTGAATTAAGGGTTGATTGAGTGATAGAAGTGCAATTTCTGCTAAGACTCTCAGAGGTTGAAACGTCGTCTACGTATTTCCACATTCTAGTGTCGGGAGAAGTGATTCGCAGGTTATTGAGCATTACTAGGAACAAGATTGGACCTAGTTTTGTCCCCTGAGGAACACCTGCATTCACTGGAAGCCAGTCAGAGGTTGCTCCGTCAAATTTAACACGCTGCCTTCGATTTGAGAGGAAGTTGATGATCCAAGGGATTAATGAGCGTCTAGCACCCAAAATTTATCAGTTTCTCAATTAATAGATTTTAACCTATGCGGTCGAAGGCCTTGGAGTAGTCTAGGAAACAAATACGCAGATGATTAGCGAGTCCGTCAAGGTGGGAAAGCCAAGTATGTAACATATCGAGAAGGCAAAAAGTGGTGGATGTCCCTTTCAGGCAACCAAATTGGCTGGGGTCGATTTTTTCTTTTATATCCTCAATCAGCCAAGATACTACAAAATCCTCTAAAACTTTAGACAAGCACGATGTTAGTGATATAGGCCTGGTGTCGGCTTCAGCAATCGGTTTACATGTTTTAGGGATTGGGACTATGTTCGATTCCTTCCAACTACTCGGCACAACTCCTGAAGCAAGGGATGTATTAAAAATAATGGTGATCGGCTCAGCTAGCACGTGAGCATGAAATATTGTCATATCCGGGGGCCTTGAAAGAATGGACAGTTTGGAGTTTCTTACAGACTTGGTAACATTCAACTGCAGGTACGCTTTCATTTGATGGTAAAACGGTGGTAATAAGTTCACATCTAATGGTGGAATATCAGCGTTAACGGAAGTATAGAATTCGTTAAGGGCACTAGAAGCTTGTAAATTGTTTACGATTTCACCATCGCGTTCTAAGGTGAAAGGCTTTGTTGTTTCGGGTTTGCCAGACATTTTGTTAATGATTTTCCACCACTTACGACTATCACTGTTTTTTAAAAGCTGAACTTTGTTTTTATAAAATGATTTCTTTCTTTGCTTAATCTCCTCTTGAACTTTATATCTTAAAGATTTCCATAGGGGGATATTATGGTTATGGAATGCTTTCTGTCGGTCTTTAATCAGTTTTTTAATACTTGGGGTTATCCGAGGTTTATCGGTTTGATGTCACTTCACAGTTATAGGAGGGAATATACGATTAATGGCTTCTGTAAGGTGCGATGAGAATGATGATGTTAAATCGTCTACCGTTTGATTAGTCCCTAACTCGCCAAACCAGACATGTGTAGCGATCCATCTCCCCAAAGCTTCAACCCCAGACCTTGGATAGCGCCGGATGCGACGTTTGACAGATTTCGTACGTTCTTGAGAATTGGTATTCTCTAGACTGGGTGACCATGTTACAATGTTATGGTCTGAGGACCGTAAGGGCGCTAAAACTTGGGGAGATTCGTACAGGTTTGGTTGGTTCGTTATTATCAGATCCAAAATGGCTGTTCCTCTTGTAGGGACTTTGACAACTTGCTTCAGGTTATGACTTGATAATATGTTCGATATATCGAAATCGTTAAAATCACCAAGAAGGACTAGACCACAGTTGGGATGTTGGTTGCGTAATGAATCTATTGTTAAAACTAAGTATTCATTAAGTTGGCGGTGGTTTTCTACAGGTAAACCAGGGGGATGATAGACTATGCGTACTGCAACACCAGAGAGCGGTCTGGGAAGGCGGGTAGGGCGAAGCCACAGCCACAGACATTCTAAATTTTCATGTTCCAGGTCCAACCTACGTTTGGCATAGGTGCCCTGTGGTAGATAAACACAAATTCCTCCTCCACGACGGCTAGAACGGTCTTTACGAAAAATGTTATATCCGTTTATCGAAACGAGTCCATCCTCGATGTCACTGTTCAACCACGATTCAGTGACCGCCACTACACTGGGTTGGCGACAACTTAAAAACAAGGTGAGTTCATCTATTTTTGGAAGCAGCGATCTGGCATTAATACAGCAGAAATTAGGTAAATGTGACTTTGAGGACTTTGTAATACAGGCATTAGGTTTGTGTATGACAATATTTTTCAGATTTAGTATGTTAGAGCCACAAGGTCTATGGTGATTTTGGTAAGTTGTAAGAAATGGTTGGGATTTCCGTGCAGTAATTCGTGTAGGAATAGACATAGTTGTCACATTTCCTACCTCTTGCACAGTTGGTGTACAAAGTCCAAATGGCCCAGCCATTCGAGGGATTGGTGGCGATGGCCCGTTCGATAGGGTGGTGGTTTCATTCGATGGCGCTTGGGAAAAGGAGGCTTGTTCGAGGTATTTCCATTAATATATTGGTTATTTTTCGCTTGGATGGGTATATCTATTAACGGTAGAGAACCAATCCAATCCGATATAGGTTGCTTTTCAGGCATATTTGCAATTTGATTGATTTGTAGTGCCTTGTTTTGTAAGTCCCTATTAGTATCGTGAGACGGCACACTTTCAATGTCCCTATTATTTACAGGAGCAGGGATGAAAGGTTGTAAACTGACGTTTTGAGATTTGCATTGATTTAACTCATTGTTGTTATGATGACCATTGTTTCGGTGGCCATTTCTGTTGTTTTTGTTCATAAGAGTGTTTTTATTAATCTTATTATTGTTATTGTTCATCGGAGCAGCAAATGTAGATGCATTTTTATTCTCTAGGGAAACAATGGTCAGATTCAACTTTTCAATTTCAAGGGATCGTTCTTTCACAAATAAACTCAACTCAGATTCAAGCTTTTCAGATCTCGCCTTCTCAATCGAAAGTTCACTACGAAGACGATCAACTCCTTTATCTTTATGAGAATATTCGGTATTAGCATTTGCAATCGAATCGATTCTGTTAGATAGAATAGTAATATCTAATTTAACTCCCTCAACATCAGCAGCTAGAACGCCACACGAACAGCGACAGTTCGACAAATAGTTGGAATTATCACCTATAATGTCTAGACAAACCTGTGATGCAGCATCAACTTGGTTGGCCGGTCTCGATATAGGTGTAGGCTCTGATTCCAAAATATTTTGAGCAATGAGATCCCGCTGTAACTCTTTGCACTTGTTTACAACTCGACTTCATAACACCATCCCGTGCATGTCTGACAAAATTTGACACATCCATCCCGAATTAGGTTGTCATCTTTGCCTTGAAATAATAAAGTGTTTTGCTTACCTGAATACCACGTTAAAGTTAGTTCAGCATTAGAGCTTGTGAACCTCTTAGACCCACCTCCAGGAGAACACCATTTCCCGTTTAGGTCAAGCACTTCGGCAACAAACGCCTTAAGAGAGTCTAAATCATTGCACCATTTCAAACGTGTGCCCTCGTAAATAAGGTCGTTGCTTAAAGCATTACCAAGAAAATCAATACCAATAGTTGATGAATTAACAATTTCTTTACAAGATTTATCAAGTAATGGTGGAATAATATCGGAGTTCGCCATAACACGTCTGGTCGCCATCTTGTATAAGTTCGCCATAACACGTCTGATCGCCATCTTCTATTAGAGAGTGTCCACATTAATTAGCTCTGTATTAAAGTGTCCACATTAAAGAGATCTCTGTATTAGAAGTGTCCACATTAAAAAGATGTCTGTATTAGAAGTGTCCACATTAAAGAGATCTCCGTATCAGAAGTGTCGACATTAAAGAGATCTCCGTATTAGAAATGTCCGCATTAAAGGAATCTCTTTATATAGATTATAGAGAATCTGTGTTAGAGAAGTATCTTAATTAGAGATATGTCCATATTTAAAAAGATGTCTCCGTATTAGGGAGGTGTACATATTATATAGAGAGTTATCCATGCTAGAAACGTGTCTGTATCAGAAAGGTGTCATGGCAAGCAGGCAACAACGAAGCAACAACGAACAAAGAAACCCACGCATATATACACACATAGGTATATTTTTTTCTATTGGCCGCCCTTTTAAATAGGCGAATAAAGTAATGTTGACATCTTCAACTGTTTTATGCAATTAATGGCAGAAGAAATTAACTGTAATAGAGAGACAAAATTCATTGATTTAAATAAAGAAAATGGTAAGATATATATCCGCGTAAATATACTCAGTTTAATTAATTAGTCTATCAATCAAATAGATTCTTTCTAATGAATCAGGGGCCAGTTGTTCGAACGTCGATTAGCTTAACCCTGGGTTAACCTAAAATTCAAAGCAAACTTCTTAAATTAACAAGTTGTTTATAAATTTGGGAACATTTCTTTGTAAATCTTGTCTGAATCAGTATAGGAGTTTTTGTCTCAGCAGTTTTGAAATAAACAGACGTGCAGAAATATATAAACTAAAACAGCAGGTTAAATTTCAACCCAGGGTTAGCGCTAATCCAGCTTTGAACAACCGACCCCTGGAGAAGTTTGAATAGAGACGGACGGTTAATAAAAAAGGAGATTTTAGAGTCTTTTGAAGGAGTAGTGATATATTTGAGAGGGGGTTTAATAGACGTTTTACGATACAGAAGTTTTCAATTCACTTACTGTAATTCTCGCAGTTCTTTCCAGCATAATTAACAGAACAACGACATTGCCAAGTTCCTTCCTTATTATTGCTGGCACATCCGCCTCCATTGTGACATATCACACCCTTGCAATTGGTCTAATATTTGAAAATATATGGATATTAGGGGCATATTTACGCATACACGCTAGTATGCGTGTATATACTAAAAGATAATTATTTACTTTCTCCTGTTTATACTTTCAAATTATTAATTTAAATTAGTTCATTCCTCGGTCTTCCCCAAGTTCATAACCTTTTTGAAGTAACGATTTCCCTGGCATGGACCATACCAATGATACCGCCCGCAGAGAACTCGTAGCAAATCCACCCGGGAACCTAGGGACTAAAACGTCATAAAAACATGCCGTGGGCGTGGGGAGGCATCAACATCACAACAGCAGTGGTGTAATATTTTTGGCAAGAGGCCTCCGGCTTGAACTTAACCTAAAAGAGCCTGCCCCGTTGTTCCACCATTCACAGTGTTGGATAGAGGGAGTCTGTCAATGATTATTACTTTATATTTTATATACATCTGACCGAAGTGACCTATGGGATTCTTAGAAGCACATTTTAATGAGGTTACTTAAATACATGCATGCTCCCTTGCGGACAAGAAGAGTACGAAATACATATATGCTCCCTGGTTAAGATTAAAGGAAGGATTATCTTAAAGGAAGGCAATGCATATGACGGATAACACAATGCATTTGAACAGTTCTGGTTTTGAAGTACCATTTAAAACACGAGCAGGATCAGTGCTTTATTAGACATAAAAAAGTGAGAGCGCAGCTCGAGTGTTTTATATCTGATATAGCACGTGCTGTGAGCGTTTCATTAAATGGCTTAAAAAACGACCCATTTAAAGAGTTCGTTGGCGAAGTAATTTTAAAAATTACTAAAGGTTGTCTAAGCCGAAAAAGCAAAGCTACATTTTATGTAAATGAACATGATTTTCGTATCACATATAAATCCACCGACGTCACTGCAGTGATTTTCCTTTGTCTTTTCCTCATGAATTATTAATACTTTTTTAACTTGATTTGCTTCTATTTTTCTTTTAAGTTAACAAATAAAGTCGTGTAACTGGTGTTGTTTATAATATCACCTAAAAGTAGGCCTATTATTATAGGCTTTTTATATCAAACATAAATGAGATCAATTTAATTAACAAGGTTAGACATGTATAGCCATTTTAATTCTTTAAGAATCCCTTCTTAATTAGTATACTAAAGTATTTTAGAATTATTTCCATGATTTCGAAAAGTTGGAATATTAGAATGGCCAACTTTAGTGATTCTAGAAGACAAATGGACAAGGTGGTTTACAGTCAAGTATCAAATTGTAGTGACATGATATGTTAGCCATCCATCCATCCATCCAGTATAAAAGCTTAATTGAAACATCTATATAAAGTGTAACGTATTGATACTGCACAATGTGAATTTTGCGATAACCTGTACATACATTATATACATAAACCGATATTCTTCAAAGACTGATAAATATCTAACAATCAAGAAAACATTTATTGTACAAACCGCATCCAGATCACGGAACAACTTCCATTCTCCTTTCGTTGAGCCTGTTTTATTTTTGCGTTTAGTGACGTTAGTAAGCTGGCAGTTTTCATCATTGAAACTTGCTCTGACATTAAATCCAACACATCTTGCATGTTCTTCACAAAGAAAAAGGCACTTTCCTGCAGTGACCAGGATTGAACCTCCAACAACATGACTTGACAAGATTTCCTCTGCAGGTAAAGGTGGACCTCCTGCGTGCAAAAGAAAATATAGATGTTCAAATTTTGTTTCAGCAACTGTACTGACTTACTACTGTGAGACAACCTAGACAATATATACATTCACGAGTGTTATTTAGTTTTTTTCATAGGATTTTCATAGTTTTAATAGTTTAATACTTATTATTATATATATATATATATATATATATATATATATATATATATATATATATATATATATATATATATATATATATATATATATA